TGTGGAATAAAGAACCAACTAAGCTTCTCCTGGGATATATGGATCAGGTGGATTAATTCTAGTTGGAGGTGGTAGATAGATTAAAAACAGCACTTGGAATTGCACTTGGAAACCCACCAGAAGCCACACAGAGCTTACAACATTGGGTTCATATGTTAATAACAAGCACTGCTAGTTTTAACAAATGGATTATTGCATTCAGCAGCAGCTGGACCTTCTGGATAGTCTTCAAAGGCAGATTCCTGTAGAGCACAATATAATAGTCCAAACAAATAGATATAAAGACCAAAATTATTGTAGTGAGATCCTTTCATCCCAGCTGGGCCTCAACTGGCACATTAGCCAATGTTGGGCAAAATCCCTAGGCTGCCATAGCCTCCACCAGTCTGTCAAACAGTAGCCACAAGTCCAGAACCCCCCCCCCACCAAGACAGCCCTACCCTTCAATTATCAAAAGATTGTACTGAGGTAAGAGAGCACCTAGATCCGTGATGGTGAACCTATGACACGTGTGCCACAGGTGGCACGCAGTGCCCCCTCTGTGGGCACACGAGCCATCGCCCCAGTTCAGCTCCACGCACGCCTCCCACAGGCCAGCTGGTTGTCGTGTCTCTGCCACACATGCACGGGGGCGGGAGGTGTGAGGGGGCGGGTGTGTATGCATGGGAGTTGGGGTGCATGGGCAGGGCACATGCATGGAGTCTGTGCGTGCATTGCATTTTAGGGGTTCAGGTGCACACATTTGTGTGCATTCACATGCGCACTTTGGGCACTCGTCCGGAAAAGGTTAGCCATCACTGACCTAAATGTACAACAACAACAAGTCTTGCTTCAGTTCAACTTCAACATGTTTCATTCCATCTACATCCTAATTTGCCTCCAGAAAGTGGAACAAAGACATAGATGGCCTTTCCTGCACTGATCATATACAAGCATTAGTGCATTGATGATACTAGAGCCTGTAGTACAGTGGTCTAAAGCACTGTTATTAACATCTGCTGCTTGCAATTACTGCAAGTTCAAATCTCACCAGGCTCAAGGTTGACTCAGCCTTCCATCCTTTCAAAGGTAGGTGAAATGAGGACCCAGATTGTGGGGGCAATAAGCTGACTTTGTATAAATATACAAAAGTATGAAGGCTATTGCTTAACACATTGTAAGCTGCCCTGAGAAGGGCGCTCCGGAGAAGGGCGGCATATAAATTAAAGCAAAAAAAAAAAAACTATATAGATTGCTTCCCCCAGAACTAAACCCTGGGCACCTCACAAAGGAGCATTTACCAAGGCAATCTCTCTTTTCCCACAACCACTGAGAGCCCATTAAGACGGGAATAAAACCAGCATCAAGTAGTGATTCCAGTCCTAGCCCTCCCTAGGATCTGAGAGAATACCATGGTCAATTATATCAAAGGCTACTAAGAGGTATAAAAAGAATAAGAGGAGCAAACTATCCCCATTTAAATAACCAAAGAGCAAACAATCTCCATCACATATCTAGGTTTGAACCCTGGCTGAAAGTTCCCAGATTAATTGTTTCTTTTGGGACACTCTATAGTTGTCCCTAATCTTACCAATAAAGGGAATGTTAGAAACTGTGTGATAGCTGTCAAAAATAGGGAAACTAGACACTGCTCTTGAAATCACTGGCAAACCCCCCAAATCTATCCAGAATCCATCAAAATCAATGAGACCTCTGGGGCACATCATCTAATGGTCCGCTTTATTCCACAGAAGTGACAGTTAATTTCATATGAACCAGAAAATGATCTGGCTATGGCAAAGAGCTAAGAGAAATATCTTCCATATTGAGATCGCCACATACTACCTCAGAGAAGAAAATAAGGTCCAAGGTGTCACCATCTCAGAGTGTTAAACCAGACTAAGCCAATGATCACTATAGAGGTCAATAACTGTACCCAGACTCATCCCCAGGGCCTAGAGGATGAAATCATCCAATACCAAAAGGCCAAGGTATTCAAGAGACAAGTCATTGCTAGGAGAAGGACCTTCCTGGACAGCAGTATCCTTTATCTTGTCCCTATGGCCCAACTTGGGGGACACAGTGACTCAATGGCTAAGACGCTAAGCTTGTCGATCAGAAAGGTTGGCAGTTCAGCAGTTTGAATCCCTAGTGCCGTGTAACAGGGTGAGCTCCCGTTACTTGTCGCAGCTTTTGCCAACCTAGCAGTTCGAAAGCACATAAAATGCAAGTAGAAAAATAGGGACCACCTTTGGTGGGAAGGTAATAGCGTTCTGTGCACCTTTGGTGTTTAGTCATGGTGACCACATGACCATGGAGATATCGTTGAACAGCGCTGGCTCTTCGGCTTTGAAATGGAGATGAGCACATCGGAAACAACTAGCACATATGTGTGAGGGGAATCTTTACCAGTGGTGGGTTCCTCCCGGTTCGGTCCGGTTCGGCTGAGCCGGTAGCGGTGACGATATGACGTCACCAAACCGGTTCTCCCCCCCCGCCCTCCCACCCCCCCACCCCCCACGTTATTCTTACCTTTTATTTGGTCCCACCCCCAATCTGTTGCTGCCTCCTGAGTCCCAGCTGATGACTAGAGGGAAAAAAACTGTTTAAACTCTTGCCGCGGGGCTTCAAAGGGCTGCCCTACAGCTAATCAGTGTTAAAAGCAAACAAATGAGTCGGGTCGTAAGTGCGAGGACTGGTCGTAAGTGCGAGGACCTTCCAGAAATGACTCTGACCAGCTAGCCACGCCCACCTAGTCACATGACCTCCAAGCCACACCCACAAAATAAGCCACACCCACAGAACCGGTAGTAAAAAAAATTTAGAACCCACCCCTGATCTTTACCTTTACCTTTAATATGGCCCAATTTAACAGCTAGATATTCATAACCTGCCACTCAGGAGCAGAGTCCATAAGAATAGGCAAAGGGAAGACAGAGATAAACATTGTTGTACTTTTAAGAACAGGCAGTATTATTACAAACTTTCATAGATAAATGAAGAAAATGGTTGTGAAGGCATTTTATAAATAAGTACTGTTGTAGGGAAGTGGGAGAAAGGAAAAAAATAGGCAGGATTATTTGGTGGGGGGGGTAAGAAAACAGTGTTCAGGTAGATAAAGTGCTGTATGGATCACTTCTGTGCAACCAAAACAACCAAGACCTTGTGGTCTACCAACCAGCAACAGCAATGTTATATCATGAAATACTGGCTGAATTCCTGCAAAGCTTTTAACTAGGTCAAGCAATGCATTTGCACAACATGCCAACTTTGGTTGATATTTACCTTGATTAGAATATTGTGGCTCAGTAGACTGTGAAGGCTACCTTTTATCTTGAAAAAATGTTTAGATTTATTCATGATTGTAGTTTGGATAGAAAGACATGAAAAAATGTCCTTCAATGACATGAAAAAATGTATAATTAGAAAAGAAAAACATATGCACCGCATGTATTTGTTATTTTAGTATAAACTCCATCGAAGGGACCACAAATGCAACTTCTAGAAGTCATCTTCATCAGCCATTCAGTTGTGTCCGATCCTTGACCACTCTATGGATCAGCAGCACTCTTCATGCCTATTCTCTTCTGTTCTGTCCTGTTCTCCAATTCTAGAAGTATAAAAATATTTACAGCTCCCTGGAGAATGTCCTGGAGATATGGTGTGCCCGAATTTGAATATGGTGTTCCTTCTTGGTCCTTAGATTTTATCAGGTGCAAAAGAGCAGGTACATGACCTCCATACGTGAAGGTCCAGTTAAACTGATTTATTGCTAAAAGGCCTAAGCACAGGAATCTATTTAGCTAACGGTCAGCATCTGCTTGGAGTCAGATAAGGGTTAATAATTCAAGGTGGGGGGTTGGACTTAGTCTAATTGTGGCTATAAAGGGATTCTAGGCTGTTGCCGCTTTTAACTCTGCCCCCAGGTTCTATCACTCTTTCTCCTATAGATTTAACATATTGTGGTCATAGCTCTCATGCCCAAAACCAAGAATGACACATGGTGATTCTTCCAAGCTGAGTTCTTTATTGATTCACACCTATAGACAAATCTCACTCTATTATCTGCCTCTACAATATACTCCGTCACCCTCTTTCTCCCACACATAAAATCTGAACTGAGTTGCCTCTTAACTTTTCTGGAATTCACCCCCTCTCTACATTCCATTACAATAGTTAATCCCAAAAGGATATAGAAAACACATAAAGCTACCAGCCTAGCATGGTCGTCCAAACAGAAAGCATGACTGGATGGACCTTATGGACTACCTTATTGTAAAGGTTACATTAGCAAAATCTTGCAAATTTAAAAGAACATTTCTCCCCCATTCCTTTTGCAGCCCAAGAAGCTAAGTTTCAATCCCTTCTGAGATACAGTATATGCCGTGCCTGCATTCCTTCTGTGGGTTAAACTACCTCTTAAATGACCATTCCATTGGTTGTTGCTCTTCCCCCTTTCTCCCAAGGTCATTCCCACATATCATTACATGATAAGTGATGCTGTATATAGCCTCCTATAAAAAAACAACGATGATAAGGAATTGGGGTATGCACGAAATGAAAAAAAAATTTTTTTTACTTCAAGTTTGGAACAAAGAACATTACAATTTGCCTATGTTCCAATGCCCATACTTTTGTTTAGACCCAAATCCAGGTCATATTTTGCCCTCTATGATGGAAGCGGAGGACTCCTTCCTAAACATGTCTCCTTCCTTCAAAGACAAACGTTTAAAAGAGCATTGTCTTTCCCCTTCTCCACTTTTCATCAGTATTCAGCTCCACCTGGTTCCATTATCATCCATATTTCATGGGTGCAAAGCAGGCAAAAGGAGCTGGAATTCCAGCTGGTGCTGCAGACGGCAGGTTTAGACTCAGGTCCCCGAGGAGGATGCTTCATTGTGAGCTTATTGAACCAGGAATATGAAACAATCTGGTCTGTAAAACTAGTGGGGGCTGATCTGAAAAAAAAAAAAGTAGTGGAAGGATCCTGTTTACCTCACTCTTCATTCATCCTATTACAGATTCTGCCTATTTGTCGGCTGTGGATTGGTCCCAAGTAGAACATCTGTCGTTAAGTTCAGGGGAAATCATCAGTACATTTGCTCCAAAATTATTGGGTTCAAAAATACCCCTTCATCCATTACCATGCAAAATTCCTTTGAGGTAAAGGGTTGTATGAGTTCTTGGGTTACTACTGGCTTTCTTTGATCCCATAAAATGATCCAAACAATGAGCTGAAGGATCCTGCCAGTCTAACGTCAGTATTCTTTCTCCATTGAGCAGGTACAGAACATCTCCCAATCCATGGAAGTGCTGGATCTTCGGACCTACCGGGACTTGCAATATGTCCGTAATACAGAATCATTGATGAAAGGACTGGATTCTAGGCTGAAAGTGGCCACTGAGGGTCAAAGAAACCTGAATGTCAAAAGTTTCCAGGTAACTCTTTGAATTCCCCCCCTCATTGCAAATGGAGGGGAAAGGTTTGTGCAGGATCTGTGCAAATTTGTCCGCTGTTTTCATAACTCTTCATTTTGTGTCACAGGTTTGATTCGACTCCAGTTTCACATGCATTGTTCTATTCATTTCTTTTATTAAAATTACCTTTTGTGTGTGTGTTTGACTTTGGACTCTGCACTCTTTTGCAAACATTGCTTCCTTAATATTATTTATCCTATCAGTGGTAGGGATTCAAATTTTTTTACTACCGGTTCTGTGGGCGTGGCTTGGTGGGCATGGCAGGGGAAGGATACTATAAAATCTCCATTTCCACTCCACTCCAGGGGAAGGTTATTGCAAAATCCCCATTTCCTCCTGATCAGCTGGGACTCAGGAGGCAGAGAATAGATGGGGGCGGGGCCAGCCAGAGGTGGTATTTACCAGTTCTCTGAACTAGTCAAAATTTCTGCTACCGGTTCTCCAGAACTGGTCAGAACCTGCTGAATACCACCTCTGCCTTGTGTGCAGTTTGCTGTGACTGCATGCATTTCTATGCTTAATTTTTTGAGATGCAAAACATAGGGCAATATTCTAGAAAGTATGTATTTTTTGGTATTGACTGCACCCTGGTTCTTAGTGTAGTTGGAAAGATGTCATATTATAATATAAATATTTTGATGAATTTAATGTATCCTTACTGAGGAATGTAATTATAATGGTTAATAATACTGTTTAGATATCAATCTCCATAGCATTCAGTTTTAGACCAACCTGATTTCTCTTCAAAATAAACTCGTGATACCTGGGATTAGATACCTGGCAAAATCCTGCTTGGATTTTGCCATTTTTTTTTTGCATTAAGATGAAGGTGATCTCAAGAATAGTTTTTAATTAGAAGTTTGCATATAGTTAAATGTAATTCGTAAGGATTGATGGGAAAGAAGCTGTCTTGTACTTATTAACTGCCCTTGATCACATCCATCTTCATGATCAAGTGATTATTCAGGGGAAAAAAATCATTTGGGGCATGGAGCAGATGGGAAGGAGAAATGAAATGCTAATCAGTGTGCAGCTAATATCAGTTAGGAGTGCCAGTAGCTTCGTAGAATGGACTCATTTGCATAACCTTTGCAAAATTGACAGTGTAACTTGCATCCCTAAGAAACCACGATGGATAAAGAAGTAACATTAGGCCAAACAAGAGGAAGGATTTTGCTAATTATACAAGAGCTGTTTGAGACTGGAATGGGTTGATCTTAACAAGGAAGGAAATTGGTTTTGCTTCAGATAACTTAGGTAAATGCTGAAGATGCTTTGAGGCTGATGTTTAAAGTGCAGCTACTGTATCTTATTCATAGCATTTTAAAGTAATCTCGATAATATCTCCCATTTGTAACCTCCTGCGTCTTCCTGTTGCTTCTTCCATTTTTTTCCCTCTTCCCCCCAAAATAAAAATGGCTAAAGGAAAAAAAGAGAGATTAGGTCTACAATGCCCTTTGATTGGTGGTATGCAGAGACCGAAGTCTGAAAGAACCCCTAGGGAAAGTTAGGCAGGATTATTGATTGTAGATTACAGCATTTATAACCCATTTTTGGTACCATTTTTATACCAATTGAAAACAAGAGTGCTTGCTCTGCAGACTATGGGCATTCCTATAATATATTGGGAAAATGGGTTTGTTATTCAGATACTCCCCACTGTATGACCGCAATTGAGCCCAAACTTTCTGTTATTAAGTAAATCATTTGTTAAGTGAGTTTTGCCCCATTTTACAATTTTCTTGCCACCGTTGTTAAGTGAATCACTGAAGTTGATAAGTTAGTAACCTGGTTGTTCAGTGAATCCGGCTTCCTCATTGACTTGGCTTGTCAGAAGGTTGCAAAAGGTGATCACATGACCTTGGGACACTACAATGGTCTTAAGTATGAACCAGCTGCCAAGTATCTGAATTTTGATCACATGGTAATGGGGATGCTGCAAAGGTGGTAACATTGAACAATGGTCATAAGTCACTTTTTTCAATGCTGTTGTAACTCTGGATGGTAACTAAATGAACTGTTGTAAGTTGAGGACTATATATGGCAGCTTCTTGGCATATCAACATTGTGAATTAATTAGGAACTTATCTCTCTTTTTTAAGGGGGTGTGTTACCTAGAGTGAGCAGACTCATTTGCCCTGGAAGTGGGAGAGAAACTCGCTTTTGGAATGCTTCTGTTATGTTTCTGAGAATTGATTTTGGAGAGAATAAGATTGGGTTCTGAGGAACCTATATTTAGTCTATGAGCATAAATCTATTGAAGCAGATGAAGCTTATTTTAGTTATGCAGCCTGAGTTCCTAGGGCTGGATTGGGCCTCTGAAAAATTTGGGTGCAGTCTCTGAAAGATCTGCAAAAGTTAGTTGTCAAAGTTTAATTTTTAATATGCCCAAAGAGAAGAGATGAATTACATGAATAGGGAATCAAATATCAACTATATTTAATTTTAACTAAATGGAAATTTAATTCATGTGATCCTCCCCTACTTGTGGGTGTATGTCTTGCCCCACCCCCAGTAGCACACCTCTGGAAAGTCAAATGCATCCTTTGGCACAGAAAACATTCTATATCCCAGCTATATTCAGCTTTGGGACTGCCAGATGTTGTGGTAATGTGTTATATGGTTTAACAATATCTGTGTGGCAGAACTCCACATGCAGAAATTCTCTGATTTATGTACACAGTAGACATATGTTAATAACCTTTCCTCCCCCCCCCAACAAGGTCGATGAATTCTTTAAAGAATACATTTGTGCTTGCTCTCAAATATCTGATTGGTCATAATGGGGCAAGGCAATCACATCTACATATTGCCCAATTAGTGCTCCTTTCCAGCAGCCCAGAAAATGGAGTCTGTATGCTTAAACCCATATTGTAGGTGCACAGGCTAGAAATGAATCCTGAAGGAGGAGAGATTGGAAGAAAAAAACTTTCTGCTCATCGTGTATATGGAACATCAGAAATTTACACGTAGATGTGGTGAATTTCATCTTACAGGGAAGAACCAAACCTACTGATTTATTAGCTTGATTTTCTCAGGCAGAGCCAAATGATGTAACAGCCTGAAGTCCATTGCCCAGATCTTCATTCTTTATTTAAACATGCCCAATGTTTTCATCTCAGAAATGATCTACAACCATACAAGGGTGGACTTCAGGAACTGAAACCAAATTCCAATCCTATTAGTGCTCTATTTTCTTCCCACGGGACAGTGTTAGTGTTGTCTGCACTAACATCCTTGTGCTGATTCTTTTCTATAGCCATGAAGGGCTAGAAATGTATCCTCAAAGGAGGATACATTTCTATACGCAAAACTAGTTTTCGCCTAATTTTCAGGAGGATCTTAATGGTATGAACCTTATAAACACAAAGGTGTTAACCGGGAGTAGAGATCGGAGTTGGAGGCAGTCCCTCTCTCCATATATTGCAAACACATACTTTGCTGAACTGTCATCTTCCATCACTTGAGTAACATTGGAGGAAATAACAGGGAGGGGAGACTTTCCCTTTTCTTTCTATGGGTCCCCCACTGCCCACTGCTTGGGCCAGGGAGATGGATGGGGATTGAAGAGTCAACTGGAGATTTCCTGTAGGCTGAATCTAGTCGTCAGGCTGAAAATCCACCACTTCTAAATCCAGAAGTTAGGAATCATATCTGGAAAACAAAGCGAATAAGAAAAGAATTAGCCAGATCCATGAATAGGAAAATAATTCCTTTCCAGATGAGTATTTTAGGATACTTTCCTATCCCCACAGCTGAGCTGTTGATATGCAAGGCATTTGGAGACATTCAAACCTTGCTGATTTATTCCCCAGAGAGACAGAAATCTTATGGCCATGTTGATGCCTTTTCTTGTTATGAAATGCAACCAAAGGAGATGTAGGCGTGAGCTGCATGGCCTTGGATTTGACAGCTGCAGAAGACAAGACATTGATTAAATGTTGGAGCTCTAGCAGACAGTTGGGCTAGTTTTAATGTCATCATGCAGGTGGTGAGTCTCAGACACCAATGGGCAATGCAGCAAAGGAGTATGGCTGAAAAATAGAGAACTTTGAGACAATTTGGGACAAGAAGTGGAGGGACTAAGCATGCTTCATTCCTGCCAAACAGCTTCTCAAGGATAATTTGAACGATTGCAAGGAAGGCAATTGCTGAAGCCCTAATAAAGCTGTTTAGTAAGGAGATGGAGCAGTGATGTCAGTTCAATAGGAAATAATCTCTTTGGGAACTAAAAGCAGGGAGACAAAATTAGAGCAGCACAATGGCCATTTCAAGGAACAGTTAAATAATTCAAGTGCTAATGATTGTGCAACATCACTTTGGCATTATCTTGAACATCTAAAAGAAACTGGTGATTTGCAGACAAGGGGTGTTAAATGAAAGCATATATACGCTATAAATTGAGCCATCTCCTTTTTAAATAGCAGAGTGGCCCTATCAGCGATTCCAATGGAGAGCAATTTAACACATTTGTCTGACTCTTTCAGCATGCCTCTTGAGCACTATGGACAGCAGAATTTGGGAGAACCTGGCGGGATTAAGTTTCACATTCATCAATGAGATCAGCAGAAGAGAAAGAGAAGTTTATTGAAAAATGGTGAGGAGCACCTTCACCTGTAGAATATCAGGTTTGTTCTCTAGAATCACCTGATAAGGCTAAAAATCTCTTCTGCTCAAGATCTTGCCACTAATCAGTGATAATCAGTTGTAGACAGTCCTGGGCTAGCTGGACCATAACTGTAGTTTAGTTTAGGATAAAGCAGCATGCCAAGTATTAGAGTAATTAACAGCAGGTTGAGGAACAGAAAATGATTCCAGATTCTCATTAAACATCACCCCAGTTTTGGTTTGGCTGTGTTTTGGAGGTAGAAGCAACACATTAGGAACCTTCCATTGTTCCAGGGTTGTTATTTTTCTTATTGCTAAATTCTGTTTCAATGCCTATTGTATGTGCTCAGTTTGCAACAATTTCTATTCCTTCATGTCTTTTCCATTAGCACTTCAACATTACCAAACTGATGTGAACAAGGCAATGGTAATAGTAATTATCAGTTGATAATTATCAATTGTAAATAAAACAAGGGCGGGAAAGTTGTGATTCTCCAAATATTGATAACGTCAAGTATCCCTCCCTATTGATGATGCTGATTTGAACTTCTGACAACCTCAGTTAAACAGTTTGTGATAACTACAGGCTATCATTGGAGGGCATTTCTGTATATGTCCATTATTGTGCCAAAAGTTGTGGGATATGTGGACATGTCACATGTATCCAGGGGGGGGAAATGGACAGGCTATATTGCTGTTGGGTGCACTTCAAATCTGGGAATTCTTAGCAATGGCCATGCTGGTTGAAAACTCTGGGAATTGAAATCCATATGTGGGCGGGTTGTCGAAGCTGAGAAAGATGAGCAGAGTTTCTGGGAGATGAAGTTGAGATGATTTGTTTACCAGTATAGTTCCCTGGCCAAAAAAATAAAATAAAATAAATGACACAAGATACTTATGCATTTAGATCTCGCTGTTGCTTAATGAATTTTAGAACTTCTTTGTGCATCATATGAATGCCCAACACAGATCAGAAGCTTGACAATGCATCCTATGGGAGCTGCAATATTGTTATCTCTGGTAACAATATTGCATTTCTGTGGATACCAGGACTGAAATGTTGATGTTTTATGGATTTATTATTGTGAGATATGAGAAAAATAAAGGCAGGAAAGATTTTCCTACTTTTCTGAACCTTCTATTCTCTTTTTCTTTTTAAATTTGTATTAGTTTTTACTGTTTATAATTACTGTACTCTAATTATAATCCTTAATAAAATCATATTTAAAAAGGGGAGAATTGCTTGGTTTTGGTAAATGTACCTGCTATTTACAAATTGCATTTTCTAGAGTACTGCCATCTTGCCAGGACCAAACTCTCACTTAACAAAAGGATGGGGAGGAAGAGGGGGGGCTGTAGGAGCTATGGTGCCATGCGGCTTTACTATATTTGGAAATGATGTATTCCAGCTTTTCAAAAGGACCAAAGGAACTTTTGGCCCATCACATTCATATGACTTACATACATAGAGTATCATCTGAATCATTGAAGTGATTCTTGACTTGTAGAAGTATGCGAGTACTGACTTTTCTGCATTGGAAGGTCTTTTTACAGCTTTTTACTGGAGTGGCTATAGTGCTTTCAGGCTTGCCTTCCCCTAGAGTGGGAGAATTATGCTGAGGAAGGTGAGATGGTAAATTGATTGCTTTGCCTTCGAAAGGGTTGCTCTTGATAATCTCAGTTTGCAGAGCTGACTCATGAATCAGCCAAGGGAATATCATCTCTGCAATTAAAACCCAAGCAAATCAACACAGTCCTTTTCCCCCTCCCTCCAAGGCACCTGCAGGGAGAGGTTGGCATTGCTGATAAATGAGCACAGACCATCCACATTCTGGGCCTTTTGCCATTCAATTACCTTTCCTGGTAATTTTTCAAGTCTAGCCAGGGTGATTACAGCCATTTGCTGAGAATAATGGGCATCTGGTTTATGCTTGGTTGAGAGGGGAGTAGCGAGCTAGAGTGTCCTAATGACAGCTGGGAGAGAGCTGGCTGCTCAGAAAGTCTCTCTTGATTAAACCCCAGGCTGCCAGAATCTACATTCCCCTCCATTTATGTCTGCCATTCTGTGTTACATTTGATTGCATGCAAGGCTATGATCAATTCAGGGTCAGTCCTTAAAGTAGGCTATTGGGAAGAGAGAAGGAAGGGAAAGTTTCCTGTGTCACTAGTAGATAGTTAAGGTAGTGGTCTCAGGATATCCAACCATCTGAAGATTTGAGCAACATGGTTAACATTTAACCATTCTTCTGTTCCTTGATCAGCTTTTCCTTACATAGTTGGCTTCCAGCTTTCACTCTACATTAGAGGTAATGGTAATCCATAGGCCACATACTTTCACCATCTTAATTGTGGTCTTCATGGGCTCCTGGAGTGGGCAGGACCTTTTTATTTTAGGGAACTGGGGAGATTTTATTAATTAATCCAATTTATATGGCTGCCCATCTCACAAAAAAAGAAGCCTAGGTAGTATACCACAATCAAAAATATAAAAATATACAAAAACAATCATTATAAAAATATGAAATCATTTTTAGGAATTAAAATATTAAAACATTTAATTGTACAAACCACAAGGCATGGGGAGAGTGAATATATGAAACACAGTGGAGCCAGCTAAGGATGTCTCTGGTTCCCTAAGACCCCTAGGCTGGTGACATAAGGTCAGATTGATTCTTCCCAAATGCTCAATGAGTGTTCCAACTAACAGACTCCTTTGATATTACGAGCCATGCATCTAGTCAGGTAGGGCATTAAGGCAAAGTAGTCTCTTCTAGGTTGGAAACAATGGGTTATACTCATTCCATATAAACTCCTTGAGGCACTTTAGATACCAGCAGACAAATAGATCTCTTGAGATCATGCATACCAATATGTCTCATATCTCCATCATTAATCAGTTCCTCTTTTAACCCATATCAATAAGATGCTATCATGACTAAATTAAAATTTAAGTCTGGATCAATCTCTAGAATATAGATATACCTACACCACTTTTTAATTATTACTGAAGGAGTAACAGCTAACAATCCACCCCTATTGGCTTGCTCAGAATATTCACTATCTCTGTCAGCTTTCCAGATCAATTCTAAAGAAATTAAAATACCAGAACAGTTTTCTACATTGAGAAGTCATTCCAACAGTGTCCTTTCATTCATAGAAAGTTCTCTGAACAAGAAGCTCTAGGAATGTAACATGTTGCTTCTGAAGCCCAAATATTTGGGCATCCTTTGGCAACCTTTAACAAGTACACTTACACAAGGATATGCTGTGGCATTGTGAGTCACAAATGATCCAGCAGCTTGCTCACATAGCCAGATTGACAAAACCAAAAAGTATCCAACCCCAAATGATAGGAGGAAGTCAGTTAACTCAAACTGACCTGTGATAACCGATAACTACAGATATTTAACTTAGTGTGATTATAAATGATTTTTTTGCTGCCAAATGTGATCTACACAGGTCAATTTAATTTTCTCTAATGTAAGTTGCAGGCTGCTTATCTAGCATATGTGCGGCCGCTTGAAAGGACTTATCTGGAGAGCATCCTTGCCACTATCAATGCTGCAGACCATCCAAAAGAATTTAACCTTTATTTGGTCATGCTCAGGGCATGATTTTACTACTACTTTGCCTTCTTTTCCTGAAAAAGAACTTCATCTTACAAGCTGCGATACATAGGCACATTGATGATGTGATACAGCTCTTTGAAGTAGAACTGGTCAGGAAACAGATACCACAAGAACTAATGGAACTCCTTTATTGTTGTAGGGTATAATAACAGAATCTTGAAAGACTGACAGAGATACCTTCTCCCCCCACCCCTACTAAAAAGAATCAAGGTGGGACAATCTTGAGGTTATTATTTCCTCCTGGCTTCCTGTCTGTCCAGACTGAGCTGATGTTTACTTGGTTGAATTCCTTCTTCAAAACTATCCCTGTAGTCCTCTCCAGAACTGTGTACAGTACTCCTCTGCCATAATGGAAACCTTCCAAAATTTGATGAACCGCAACCACTCAGGACATGTCATCACCCATGATAATGGGTGCTTGGAATTCTACTTCAGCAACATCTGGAAGGGTGCAAGTTCACTTTTCTTTATACCATTCCATGCATTTCCCCAGGGAGCTATTATTCTCTAAGCCTAAGAATTCACTGGTTTTTTCGAACCCTTTCTTTCCACCGGCACATTCTAATTGCTTAGCTTTTCTCTATACAATTTGTGGCTGTGTACATGGTTTCCCTGCTCCTAATTTCATCCTAAAACATCCTTGTTTGGACATACTTGTCTCTGTGTGCTGCTATAAAATATTGATTTCCTTCTGTTGGATGATCTGAAATGGTAAGCCACTGTGTGCCTGTCTCCCCAAATAATCATTCTGCCCCATTATTGCCAAGCTCATTAGAATAGATGGAGCCTTTCCAATTTACCAACTCTTGGATTGCTGTATTTAATTTGCTAGCAAGGCTGCAGATATAACCTCCATCCCAGACTAGAGAAAACAGTGTAATCCTGGCAGTGGTAAAGTGGTAGCAATTGGATGTTCGTCAATATCATGCTATCAAGCTGTTAATTAGCTCACATGTATAAACATTTAGCAGGACACGGGAAGAGAGGGAGACAGATTCAGGACCCTGATTTTCAGACAGCAATCTACTTATATTCAAGGTTTCAGTTATCCCAGGCTGGCTGGTGTGCATGTGCACGAGCAGACACATACATCCAGGTTTGTTCCTTCCTTCTCATTACAACAAGTAGTTGCACTCCACAGAACAACAACAAAGGTGCAAATGCCTATGGTTGCCTCCCCTGATTTAGTACCTTCCAGTAATGAAGCTGTGGTTTTGTAGCCTCAAGACATCAGGTGGCACCATGTTGGAGAAGACTGGCCTCAGTATCTGTCTTAAGGTGTATTAATTAAATCATCTCTGAAAAAGCCACATCTACTGTCCAAACATCCTGGGAAGTGAAGATGCTTCCTGACTCCTGGAGAATATTCCAGAACCTATTGTAAGAAGCATGGCATATTGTTTGGGAGGCAAATTATTTTCAAATGGAAACGATATTCCTCCCAATTCAAAATAGATCTTAGGTAACAGTACAAACGGCATTTCACCAAACTTCAAAAATTACACACACATACAAATTTTATGATTAGGTCAAATATCACAAATGGACAGCTTATGGAATACAAGTGGTCCCAGCAGCAATTTTGTGGTTTCCCAGAGTAGTCGAGTTAGCATGATCAAAATTCAAAGGCAAAAATGACTAATTTCAACTGTATTATGTTTTTCTGGTGTATATATTTTGAATCCAACAAGGGATAAAATTCATTTTTTTTTTTTGTTTAAGCGCCATGGTCTCCCTCACAATGAAAAAAGCCAACCTTTTTCTCACTTCCCAAAGCCATTATGTCACCAGCCATTTTCCATACAGTTCCCCAGAGACTCAAACAGTGGTGGGTTGCTACCAGTTCGCCCCGGATCAGGCGAATTGGTAGCAGCGGTGACGGGAGGCCCCGCCCACCGACCAGACGCTTCTGTGCATGCACAGAAGTGTTGCATGCTCACACAAGTGCATGCACACCCACGAGCGAACAGGTAGCGACGGGTTTTGAAACCCGCCCCTGGACTCAAACCAACAAATAACAATGGAACTATATCCTCCAACTCCAAGAGCCTTGGTAGTACAGTGGTCTAAGGCACCCTGTTATTAAGCTGGTTATTAAGACCAGCTGCCTGCAATTACTGCAGGTTCGAATCTCGCCAAGGCTCAAGGTTGACTCAGCCTTCCATCCTTTCTAAGGTAGGTAAATTGAGGACCCAGTTGTGGGGGCAATAAGCTGACTTTGTATAAATATACAAAAGGATGAAGGCTATTGCTGAGCACATTGTAAGCCGCCCTGAGTCTCCGGAGAAGGGCGGCATATAAATCAAATTAAAAAAAAAAAGTTGCACACTCCAGCCTTAATCTTTTAGCAGTTGGTATTTTCGCTTACCTGCAGAATTGGTGTATTTGGTTCCAGCGTAGTAAGCATAGGAGGGTCAGTTTCTTATCTCTAAATAGGTGTTCTGGTGTCAAAATGTTACATTTTGCATTGTTTGATCCTTACCTGAGTGCCTACAAAAATGGAATGGTATTACTCCCAAGGAAAAATCCATACAACTTCACTCTTGAGCTGCAATTATGTCCGTTCCTTCTCAGGAATTTACTTGGAATTCACAGACCCTGAATTCACAAAACTCAGTGGAATTCACTTCTACAATTTCTTGGAGATAAATTTGTTTTATGCTTACTGTGAATGACTTGTAGCTCTTACATTTATAGAAGGCTGAATATAAGATATGTAATTACAAGAACTATACAACCACAAATCGGTCTCCTGTCTCTCTCTCTCTCTCTCTCTCTCTCTCTCTCTCTCTCTCTCTCTCTCTCTATCTATCTATCTATCTATCTATCTATTTCTCTATCTATCTATCCATCCATCCATCCATCCATCTATGTATCTGTGTATCCATTTATCCATCTATGTATCTATATATCCATCTATCCATCCATCCATCCATCCATCCATCCATCTATGTATCTGTGTATCCATTTATCCATCTATGTATCTATATATCCATCCATCCATCCATCCATCCATCCATCCATCCATCCATCCATCCATCTATCTATTCATTTATCCATCTATGTATCTATGCACCCATCCATCCATCTATTTATCTATCTATCTATCTATCTATCTATCTATCTATCTATCTATCAACTATCTATTATCTATTAGATACTTATTTGGCTTTGTAGATTTTCTTATGTTCTCCCATTTAAGTACTAATTAGTTTTTTCAAGATCAGCTATAGTTGACTTCTGTAAAGCAAAATAGGAGACAGATTTATGCATGCAACTATAGCCTTTCCTCATTACTAAATAAAATGGCTACCAGCCAATTTCCAGTCAGCAGAAATCTGAATCAGTCTGAAATTTGTGATCCCCATTGTTGATTTCCTATCTGTTGTTCTACGGGTTGCAAAACAGTTTGAAAAGGACTGTCATGAACAATGTCAATGAAGTGTATCATCATTCATAGTTTCTCTCTCTCTCTCTTTGTATTGGACAGCAAACTGGTTATAAAAATTATCATGAAACCAATTACATTAATAGTTAATATTAAGGCACCTTATTGGCTTTCCTAGTTTCTTGTTTTGTAAAAGAAAAGGGGGTGGGGAAGGATTGTACTTGCAAGATTGATGTCAGCTTTGCAGGATAAACCAGATTGGAATCACAACCAAATGAGCTAATTTTATCTTATTGTAAAGCTACATTGACAAAATTTTGCAAGTCTGAAAGTACAGTACAATCCTATCACACACACCACTTATACATCCCAAGAAACTAGGGAACAACTCTTCTGAGTTCCTTTCTGTGTCCACTATCCAATTGTGGGCTATGCTATATCTGGCCCTTGGCAGCATCTCTTTGACCAGCCTCCCAAGATCTTTCCCTCGTGCTATTATACCTGTGGAATTGATTTCTTTGTCTGATCTGGTTTATCTGGTCTGGTCTGGTCTGGCCTATGTAGTGGGACTAATAGTACCTGGGTCAAATAAATGTTTCATTTTGGAACTGAACTACCCAAAATTATCTGTTCCTTGGAAAAGGTCATGCTCAGAATGTTTTGGACATTTCTAATTCTGAAAATTGCTACGCATTTTCATGCCTGAACAGTTTTGGTAGGAAGGATTCTACAGTTGGTCTCCTCTGGTTCCGTCAGCTAAACAATGCCGGCTGGCCGGCCCGCGGGGGAGGACCTTCTCTGTGGCTGCCCCAGCTCTCTGGAACCAGTTACCTCCTGAGGTCCAGACCATCCCCACCCTATTGGCCTTCCGGAAAGCGGTGAAGACCTGGCTTTTCCGGCAGGCTTGGGGCTGTTGAACTTGCTCTTGCGATCCGGCGAGATCCGGCCATGAATGGTGTGAATGAGTTTTAATGTTTTTAATGTTTTTAATTTTTAAATGTTTTTTATAATGATTTTAAATGCATTGTGAGCCGCCCTGAGTCTTCGGAGAGGGGCAGCATACAAATTGAATTAATAAATAAATAATAAATAAATATCTAGTAAGTTATTTCTCTCCACCAGCCCTAATTT